GCCAGCCAGGCTGCAGCAGTTTGAAAAGGAAAGGCTTTATTCATAAACATTCCCATCTGCAATCAGCAGTTGCTAGTAGCTTTCTATTAAAAGGAAGCGTAAAATTAAAAATGTTTCTGAGAAAGATCACTGCTAATTGACCAAAACTGTTGCCTTTGACAACATGCAATTTTAATAAAATCTTAGTGCCAAAGGCTGTAACTCCCCATTCTCAGTCTAGATCCAGCCACACTCTTGTGCTCCGCAGCTACAGCTGAGCTAACCGGCAGTTCAGCAAAGGTATGTCCTAAGCTCTGCCCTCCTACAGAAGTTTGACGTGGAAAGCAGAAGTCCAGATGGGCTACCGCTACCCCAGGCACGTCCCAAAGGGTGGAGGCATCCCCCCACTGTGACCACTACCCAACACAGAAGTGTGGCACAGCCGCTGCCTACGCCAACATGCACCTTTCTGCAGCAGGGACCGTATTTCACAGAATCATCTAGGTTGGAAAAGACCTTGAAGATTATCTAGTCCAACCATTAACCTCACACTGACTGTATTTGCTTTACCTCACTTCAGTGCTCCACTCACAGTAGCAGAAGACATCACTGCCCAGGTCCTGCCACAGGACCACGGACGACTGATAGCCTCCAGACTGAGGGAGCCCTCGGGAGCACAAGTCATGAACGTATCCAAGGGACCAATGCTGAGCACTTCTCCCTCTATCCCCTGCCTCAAGCAGTATTAATTCAGACCTCCTGCATCTCTGTTGTGATCAACAAGGCTATTAGATGCTCCAAGGCGGGTCCTTGCCTTGTTCCCCATGGTTCAGCACTGCAGTGTACCCCCTCCAGTGGGAACGGAGCCGGGCAGCACTGGGGTGCCAGCACCATGCTTTCTGCTCAGATCCAGGGACTGGACTGGAAGGATTTACACACCTGAGCTGCTCCTGCAAATTCACAAACTGCAGCAGAGCCCAAACCTGAACCCTGCTTTCCTCACATCTCAGAGTAGAGCTGAAATCATCACCCCTTATATTTGCGGAGTCAGGCGTGAAGCTAACAAGTAATGCAGCTTAAGTCCATCGAGGAGAATGAAAACCAGGCCACCATCCCAGACTAGTGGCTAGAAATAGACTCCAGAGTCCTGATTACCATCCCCTGCTGTAACGCCTACACAACAGAATCTTGCTTTTACTTTTTATAAGAACAAAAGGGCAGAAAGGGGTATTACATCGAGGGACTTTAATTTGCCTTTTTAAAAATTCTTTGGCTCTGGAATTTTCTAAAATTATTCCTTCCTTCTCCCACTGTCTGCACTGAAAGAGAGAATATACATTTTTTAAAAGCTGGTGTTAGAAAAGAAAGCATAAATTAAGAGAGGAGGTGGGCATAAAACAGCTACACATTTCAACATCTATGAATAAATTCTAAAGCTCTCAGAAAACATGATTCATTGTCGTTACCATCAGCTTACCTGTGCCTCCAACTGAAATTAATTCAGCCCTAAAAGTTTTAAACCAGAAAGGTGTTACAGTGAAATATCATTTTCCAGAACAAATAACAATGTTCACTGTCTTCGCTGCACTGCCCACAACCAGTCTTGCAGTAAGAAATGTGATGAATCCATACACTGCTAGCGGGAACGGGTTTTACTGGATAAAGTTGGTTTAACAGAGTCATTTAAGAGGTGCACGTGACAGTTCATTAGAAAAAAGAAGGCCAACAGGACCACAACTTCTTCTACTCTTCTGTCTGGTGTTGACAACCCTTGCCTGCTGCCTGGCTTGAGAGCAGCCTCCAGCTGCAGTACCTCTCTGGAGCAAGGAAGGAGACTGAGACTATCACACACTGAGCTTGAGGGCTGGTAAACAGCACACAAGGAGTATCAGACTTTGCAAACTAGGTCATGAATTAGGCTACATGACCAGTGTAGCCCATTGTCATCCTGTCCTCATGACAATTTCATCACATTGGTCTGCAACAGAAAGACAAATTCAGCAAGAACATTCACAGAATCATGCTGGTCTCACCATGATGGTACATCTGGGGGTCCTACCTGGGGCACACAAACACAGGACATCTAGAATGCATACACACTCAAAGCATTCATGGGGATTTTAGTCAGAGCAGACTTTTTTTTTTTCCCCCTCAGAGAGTTAATTTATCCTACAAGAATATCCAAATGTTTAGTGCTAGGATTCAACCATCCACCTAGGTGGTGGTTCAGCATATGCTGTTTCAGCAGAGCATTCCATCCACACACCCCATCAAAACCAACAACTCATGTGCCACTGAGTCCAACCGGGCTACCCCAAAGGACAGAGATTAACCTCACGTGACTCCATTTGAGAACAAGCAGACGACTGGCAGATCTATTCTCCACCCTTATCCAGCTTGAATTTACAACTTGTTCTCCCAGCACAGTAAAAATAAACCTTTTCCACTGGAGAAAGACCAGCTGCTTGAAATCCTGTTCACTGGAAACAACTCAGTTAAAAACTAGAGGAACAGCCCAACTTCTTAACAAGAATATTTCTAAGAAAAGAGCTGAGAGGAGAGGCAGATCTGTAGGTAAGGCAGATACTGAGGGGAGAGGTCCCAAATACAATTCTTTGTGGGACTGAACAGTCTGTCTCCATCTTGCTTTTCATTCACTTCTGAGCATTTAGGCTCTTCAGAATACACTGCTTTACAGCCTCCATTTCCATAACACCTACCATAATTGATCCCCATTGTAATCTATAAATTTATATTATAGTACAATTTAGAAATCATCACCTTTCCTATACAGATGCTACTAATTTCAACGGAGTAACCAAACTTACCAATTGTATCTGTTTAATTCTTTTACCTCCTGTACAGTGCTGCTTCCCTCTACTTCAGAAAGCATTTCTTTGGCTTGGTGGCAAACTGGGATTTGGAGACATAATTTGTTTAGATTTACATGACTCTTCCTTCTCATTAGAGGTGCACCAGGCTCATTGGAATTCCAAGCAATACTGTGGTTTCTTTTAAAAATCACCAAGCTGCGGTTTCCCACTTGAAAGATCAAATTTTGTTAAGATCAATGACATTAAGCTTCTGCTCCTGAACTGCTGGTCAGAAACTACGAAGGGAAAAAAACCTCCATACTATACATAGACACTTTTAACACACTCCTTAGGTATATTCCAGCGCTCTGAACCAAAGCAATTTAAAAACTAGACATAGTCACTATTACATGTTCTGTCTTATTTCACTGCCAGTCACAGTATCATGGTCATTCTTCCTCAATTACATCCCATGATATGCCCACCTATGACAAGAAAACAAAGTCAAATCCGGAATTCATAAAAGCCGACCTGCATGACCTCAAAAGAGAAAGCAGCAGAACAGTAAAATGTATCTGTGATTGAACAACATAAGAATTCAATACTGTTTTTTTAAAATGTATTTAAAAGGACTGACCTGAACACCTACAGAAACATTATTCTTCTTTCTGCTTAACCCCAATTCAAAAAGAGAGCTCAGAGAAGCCTTTCTTCAGAAACATGACTTTTCCAAACGTGTCTATTTACACTTGAACCATATTTTGGGGGACAGAAGTATGGTAATGAGGCTGTATTTGCTTTTATCGCTTAATATGACAATAATGTCAGTCTGCCTAGGGAAAGAGTAGTTGAACTTACAATAAAACATATTTATTTGGAAAAAGCATCCCAAAATTTTTCTCCCAAATAAGCAAGACAAAATTTGACAGGAATTTGTTTTCTTGACCAACTAACTAAATTTCATTCTAAAAGTTGACAGGAGATGGAAGGAGAACTTCCACAGATGGAAACATTTCTGTGGGTATTTTCTTTCCCTCCCCCTGAATCTGTAGGCACTGAGAAAGAAAATCAGAGAAACCCCTACACATGATTCTGACTCTCCTTAGATGAGAATTAAAGATTCAGGCTCCAACTAGCCCTGACTGCAGATATGAATAAACACTTGAGCCTGAAGCACCTTCTGAGCATTAGCACATCCCTTCAAGGCTTGAATCCTAGTATGTTCCTTTGAAGTGAATCGCTTCAAGGCAACATCCCCATGCATTTGGTGTTTTGACCCTGTGCTCAGATCTCGCCTCCAGCATGAAAGACTTTAAGGTATTTGTAGTTGTAGAAAAAAGCAGAGAGAAATTTCAGCAGCTTAATGGGAACCGATACATGCATGGCTGAAAGGAGACACCAGGCTGTCACCACACCAGGCACCAGGCTGGGCTGCCCATGAGGCACTCAAAGGTAAACAGAGCAAGTACCAGATCACCTCTGCCCCAGGATTTTATTTCAAACACCAAAAGGTTTTGGGTGGTTTTTTTTTTGTTTGGTGTTTTTTTTTGTTGTTTTGTTTTTTTTTTTTATTAATTTAGCCTACATGGTACCTATGACCATGTGAAATCTTGAAAAATGCAGATAGTAATTTTGCTGGTTGCAGTATGAACCCTTTAATATTCAGCCATCCACTAGAGGAAAATAGATGCTAAACATTCTAGAACCTTGTATACACACAGCACAATTATTTCCAGCTGCAAGACTATCATCAAGCATTATTCCTCATACTATTAATCCCTTTTTCCAAGAAAAGTTTTGAAAGACAAAGCTTTTTTAAAAAAACCTTAGAAGTTTAACTGTTAGTCCCTATGGAAAATAGATCCTGGATTTCAGTTCCAATGCTACACTGAAGGTAAGCATAAACAAGGGGGAAAGTGTTTTACAAAAGCAAGTGGCTTTCTTTCAAACCACCAGTTACAGTCAGTTCAGGTGTTGCTTACAAAAACACAGGATTAAACAATCCTGATTGCTAGGAACTGTAAAATACTGCATTCCCTGAAGTGCCAAATGTTAACTTTCTTCCACTTCACCTCCTGGAACTGCTGCCTTGCCAGCTCCACTGCCTTCATTGAAAGTTATCTGTCATATTGAAGAGAGGTTCCTGGAAAAAATAAATGCTGGAAGCAGAGGTGTAGAACATCACAGTCGGATTATTTTTTTTTTCCCCTAAGAATTCAGTCACACTGTAGTTTTACAAAAACAAATGATCTGCTTGTCTTCTCCTAGACAAGTACAAGCAGTACGGTAGAAAATTAAACATCAATACAGCATCAATACTGAAAGCACACGGCTTTTCCCCAACTAAGAGCACAGAAGGCTTTAGTTTTACCGGTACTGATGAAGAAAACTCAGTAGTTAGTGATGCAAAACCCACCGAGAGATAAGGCTAGGGATCCCTTGATTATCATATTGTGTTTGTGTATTGCTGAGTCCTCAGATTGTGGGTCAGCTTACACTGCAGAAGGGAAAATACAAAAGCTTTGAGGGGGAGGTTAGAGATAGGATCTGCAAATTCTGTGGTTGAGCTGAACAACAATGTCAACACGAAACCTCAAGTAGAGCTGCAGCCCGGAGCTATACGGTCCCCACAGCTCTTTCTCCAGAACCAGGGGAGGGAAAGCCCTGCTGGAAAAAATGACTGAGTACACCTATGTATTATGCAAAAGTTTAACAAAGCGATGTTCCTGCAGGTGTGGAGAACAACTGCCTGCATATCTGACCACGACCTCATCCAACCCCAGCCATCTGACCTATAAGTATTATCTTCTCTAAGAAAAGAGTTACATTACTTCAAGAACATGAACGATGGCGTTATGCACTTATGAATTTCATGAAGGCATTGAACTGGCGTTTCAACCCCCTCTCCAATAAAACTGTATGCTCACTTTGGCACAGTGATTGTATCTCGTAATACTGAGAGACGAATGTATTTTTTTGTTGTTGCCATGACAACTATGCCGGTTAGGTCAAACCTAAAGGAGCAGCTGGTCTCTCCACTGCCAGACCCTGACAAGCACAGCTCTTAACTTTTTTTCCTCTTCTAAATATGTTGCCTGTATACCACAACTTTAGGAGCTTTAAAGCGAGAGAATAATTACAAGCTACACCCATTTTTCTGCTTCCCAAGAATTATTACTATCATGAGGCAGGTAGCAGAAGTAACACAAACACATATTCCTCCAGCAGCTGTAGGAGCTCACATGACCTTAAGCATGCTGAAAATCTCACTTCCAAGTAAATATGGGTATTAGCTGCTGGCATTAGTACACTATGCATAGCTTAATGAAAGGGTGGAAAATACAGCTAAAGCTAATGAAACCTTTTACAGGATACCCACACAGTCATGCCCAACAAAAAAATCTAAAACACTGTGCTCTGCATTTACTCTCTTAAAATCAGATGTATTTTCAAATTAAGAGCTTGAAAATAATAATATTACTGTGAAACAGTGTCTGTAAGAATGAACTAAACTGAGCATAATACAGGCAAGGAAAAGGGCAACAATTTTACATAAACATATCGGAGTTCTGCCACTGTAGCCATCTAGGTAAAGGTAACTACTGCATTTTGCAGATGTTCATATCCAGTGCATCACTTAGCCAAGATTTCAAATGCAACCAAGATGACAGAAGGAAAAAGAAAATTTTTTTTTCACAACTGAGATTTTTTTTCAGTCATTCCTATTTTATACTGTCCTATTAAGTGTTAAAGTGGACATTTAGTAAGTAAACAAAGTATACTATGGTATCTTGAAGAGATCACTCGTTTAATAAAAACTCACGTGCAAGTTTGACAACACTATTACTAATGAATCACGCACACAGACTGAACCTCACAGCCACGTGGTTGTGGCTGAGGGACTGAGCACTGAAATGGCTTTTTAATGAGGAAAAAAATCCCAGTTCCACAGGGCACTCCCCACTCAAGGCTCCCCCAAGCATTACATGGTATTGCTCCAGAAGTGCTCAGCCAAGAGAGCCCAGAAAGCAGGGCTGCTAAAAACTTGGAGCTACCCCAAAGTATAACTTGATTGACAGTAAGAAACAACTAAAAATGAAGATTACTAGCTAAGTTTCTAACTAGCTATTAAGAGTAAGTACAGTTAGCTACAGAAAGTACACATCTTTTCAGTTCACACTGCTTATCATCCTCAGATATTTTCCACCTTTGATAATACTGACATTTATGTAAGTTGCATAACTTACAAACCACTATCACTACAAATACTGCTTGTTTTTGAAAGCAATTAAAACAATTAGAAGTATTAATGCAAACCAGCTTCTCTCTTCTACCATTTACAAGGCAGCCAATAAAAGTATACGTGCATGAACAGAAAAACATTCGTAAGACACAAACTGATTTAATTAAAACTGAAAAGAAAAACATACTGAAGGAATAAAAACTCCAGATACATAGCAATTATTAATTCTGAAGCTGTTGATGATCTTGGAAAAGCATTTTGGAATTCATGACCAAGTATTCAGTCTTGAATACTGAGGAAAAGGGAGGGAGAAACCATGACCTTCCAAGTCCTTCAGCACCACTGAACATAAAACTGTACTACTTGATATATTTTTCCATGAACTTTTTGTGAAATTCTGACCGCAGAGTATCATTCACGAATCTTTTGTCCTTTTTTGATTCATCTATCCCCTTGGCACAATTCTTGAAGACAACATCATCATCCCACCTGAAAACAAAAGTATGTAACTTCAGTAAGTTTGTATGAAAATTAGGTGCAATTATCAAAAATATATAAATGAAATTTGGCCGTCCTATTTAAACGTATTAAGGACAACTAGTCATCAGGATTAGATTTTAAATAATCCAAGCCATCTCCTACATGCTCCTGAGTTTGAAGCAATGAGAATCAGTAGGTTAAAGGTTATTTTACCTTTAAAGAAAATAACAATCATTTGAACAGAGCATAAGAAAAACCTTGAATCTAATGGCCCTGATTTTGATAAATGCAACGGTACTGGAATATTTGCAAACAAGTTTTATATTGAGAAAAAAAGCTGTTATTTACTGATTCTAGTTACACCAAAAAAACCCCACAAATAAAAAAACCCCACACCTAACCATCTAGATTTTAAAGAGGAGCATAACATCAAATTTATTGAGGAACTTTGGTCCTGTTACTTTTTGTGTCATTATGCATAATGTCATACAAACATAGCTCTCAATCTCTCTTTCTCTTTTTTAAACACAAAGTAGAAGGATGATTTGTTCAGAGAAATGCACAAAGACAATCACTACATGCATCAGTATCCCAATTCTACGTTACACCACTTGTGACAGGATCTGAGGAAGGAGATGAAAACCAATGGCAGTGCTAGCATTTTCTGACTGAGGAACGAGAGCAAGCAAGGGGATGGATACCACAGGACAGACTGCACAGTACCTCCTCTTCACTTTGAAGTTTGCTTGAGGCTGTGCTGGGCCGGTAAGGTTCAGCAGTGGATTACCACTCAGAATGTTTTCCATCCTAATTCTTTCTTCTTCAGCCTTTTGCTCTTGTTCCTGAGAACCAATAATGGATATATTACTTTTCTAAGCCACTTTTCTCATCTAGTTGGTAACAATAAACATTATTTAGCTGTGAACACTCACACAGACAGAGCTTTAATTCCTAGCTCAGACTTTTCAGTGTTTGACACACGTATAAGTAGACTAAGGATAGAAGCAGAGATACTCTGAAGAGCTTAACGTTGCCAATAAACTGTCCATCTAGCAACATGCATATCTGCTCTACTTACCTCTGATGTTCCACGGAATATTCAGCTAAATTCTAGCTTTGCCATTTACATATTTACTATATTAAAAACTGTACACAGATTAAAAGATTTTCTTTACCCTTATGAGAAAAGAGTATGTTATACAATATTCATTAGGTGGAAGAAACCTACAGCACATTGAAACTTCTCTATCTTCAGTAATCTGCTTGGGTTTTACAACTACAACTTCCCTAGGGACCAATTAAAAAGAATATTGAGAAAGCTAAGGTGAAACTGAGCAGTGGATGTCACAGGACTATTTAAGAGTTCCAATATTAAGCAGCAGAAAAATTTTCTTCTCCTTGTACTGTCAAAAGCATGTAACTCAAGCCTAAGTGAAGCAATGCACTACAGGCAACACAAAGTAGATTTCACTGCCCATGCCTCCAAGCTGTATTAATATATTTAGCAACTTAAATGTTCACAGACTTCAAAATGAATGTGTAAAATATTTATTTTACATCAACGTATTTTTCCACGACTCTTCAAATGTATTACAAGGATTGCTCTTTGATGAAAGTACCAGAAGGGAAAAAAAAAAAAAATCTTTAAATTTGGATGACTAACTAGGTCTCCTGCTCATTGTATGCTAAATTATGGTCTGAAGACATTCTAGTTAAAAAAAAAAATGCACTGAAGTCTCATTATCACTGTGGGAGGCTCAAACCATGGCATTTAAAAATGATATAAACCAAAGACAAAAAGATCACGAGGTGGTAGTTATTTTTTTCCCAACCTGCAGAAAATTCATGGTTGAGGGCTGCTACGTGATCCCAAATGAGGAAACATTTTTCTTTATGATAGTGTTTACAAGGTTTAAGTGCTAATCTTGAACACTGATGCTAGCCAGAGTTCTCTAGTTTCAAACATTCAATCAATACTGATATATTACTAAAACTGTCTATAATTTAGTGTTTTTCAACTGCATTGATCAGACATGTGAACTATTCCTATAAAACACCCCAGCCCTCCTAAGAAAATATCTTAACATATAGTACGAATACCAGACGATGCAGGATCACTGGTAAAGATTTTACCTTTCAAAAATCTACCCGAGTTTTAGTTATGAAAAAGCACCTACATTACACTGTTTCTCACAAATAAAATTTAGAACCAGATGCAATTAATTGCCAGTGAGATGGGAAAAGCTCCTCAAAAGGGCACATTGCTTAAAAGCATGGCACAGCATGACAAGCTCTGTAATGCCCTTATTAAAATATCTGTGTAAGCAAAACTTGCCCTTGCTGCTCTTATCAATGGGGCTTTAACACAAACTGAAGCAGTTAAAAGTTAACACAAATAAACTGAAGTTTTGCGTTTTTAAACATAGCTCTAAATCCAACATCTGCATTCCAACTTCAGTTGTTATTAACAGGCCAGTAAATAAGGAAACAGAAAGTAAAAATATTTGATATGAACAACAATTTTCCCCCATATCAGAAATACAAACTGAAATTATACATTTCTTTGTGGACCACAGACAATAAATATATGCAATTTCTTCTGCACTGTATGTCAACCTTTGACTCAGCATCTTTTTTTCCCATAACACAGAGGAGCCAGCAATTGACTGCAGTCTGTGTCATGTTCCTACCAGAATTCAAGCAGCCCCCAGACTACTGTACAGCACATGCATGCAAAACACTAATCTGAAATCAAGCAAAATCTAGGACACTGGTACAAGCAAAAAAAAAAAAACAACCCAGTATTGATTTTCAGATAGCTCCCTGAAGACAATCACATTCTGTTTAAGACCATTAGGCATATTTACAACAGGGTGCAAGAATGTGAAGTGTTCTCCGTGTTGTCCAAAATGAGGGGGGCTCTGCATCATTAAATTCAATCTCCAATGCTCCATTAAAACTGAGGCTTCAAAAAACCAAGAGGTCTGGGACAAATCCTAAAAGCAAGTAAGAATGCTACAAACCAAATACTTGAGAGAAAGTAGCACTAATAAGAGCATTGTAAGACATTAACACTCCCCTGTTGAAAAATGCTTCTGTAGAGATAACTTCTTCCAAGTCCTATATATGTGATCAGTCGCAGCAGTTTTCCATTTCAGAGCTGAACTCTGGGGGAACTCTTCTCAAAGCGGCATGGAGAGCATGGCACAGTCTCGCCTTCGAATTTCTTAGACAATAGTCTCGATCGTGATCCAATGCTACTGAACCTGTGCATCACGCATCACTTTATCGGGGCACGCAGAACTATTTTATGCTGGTTTTTTATGATGCATGAAAATGCACCCACACACCACTGAAACACAGAACTACCATGCATTCCACACACAGTGTTTCCTCTACGGTTAAAAGTCCACTGCAGTCAGTCACCATCTTTTGGGGGGAATTACAATTGTTCTTCCCTCCCTTCCCCCATTTCAGATTTAATCTCAACAGTTCCTGCAAAGCTGATGGGTTCCAGCACTCTCCACCATGCATGAAGTGAAGTGAAAAGCACTCATTTAAATGAATTGTGAACGTTCAGAATCACTAGAGGAAGATAAAGCCAATATTAAGAATCTTAAAAAAATATGCATACAGTACTCCAGTGTTATTACGCACAGATGCGCATTTAATTTTTCTTTAAGAAGATTTAGAAAAAGCATGTCAGGCATCATCCTAACTTTTATCTGCTTTACATAACCCATATAATTTCCTTCAGCCTCAATTAGCCTGACACATTTCCCTTTCTGATAATGAAAAAAGTGTTATCAGACTGAAGTGATAAAATGTGGTGACAGAAAAAATCAAAATTGAAGTAACACTTTTAAGAAGTGTTACACTACAAGCAGTAGTATAAAACTAAGGATAGGATTTAGCTCCAGATTAAGACACCTACATCTAGACATCTACTTGTAGGCATATGATCTTAGATCTCAGCAGAGATCTGGAGAATACAGTACGGAGTCAAGATGGCTCTTCTGCTCACACTAAAGTACACACACAGGAGACCGACCACGCTCCAGGCTCTACTGACTGCACCATCATGGAAGCTGGGATACATAATTTGTACATTGACCCCAACAACCTGGCATTTCAAGCTCAACTAAATTCTGTCTAAAACTGCTAATTGCTAGCAAAAGACCTACACTGACTGAAGTCAACTACAATTCCAGAGGACTGGAGGGTAGCAAAAAATTGCACTATAATTAAACAAAGCAGTAGGGGCAATCTTGGGAATTTAAAATTGTTACATTTTTCTTTTGTGCCTATTAAATTATTAAAACCAATTATGATTTTAACCCTAATAGAAGCTGTCAAATGTTCTTTTCTAGTGACAACAGTTACAGAAAGCATCCATGGATCTTATTTTCAAATGCTGATTTTCCATATTCACAGCAAGAGATGCTGCAGAACTCCTGGGCACTTTGTACGATCCTTTGCTCTGCTCACAAACAGAACTCTGCTGTCTTTTAGACACGCAGAAGCAGAACTAGAAGTCACAAACTGCATAAGCTTATCTTTGTCATTAAAGATTAACAGATTAGAGTCTGAAAGCAAACAGGGAACAGATCTGTTGAGTAAGGCACTGCCAGTTTTAGTCACTTTTCAAAGAAGACCTGGTGCACACAGTAATTTATTTATGGAATTTAGTTGTTCGAAGCTGTTCTAGGTTGGATGACATTTGAACATATTTGCTACAAATTTTAGGAAGCAGGCTAATTCTGAATATTAGTCTTGGAGATTTTTTGTATTATTTAGCTTCACCAAAATCTCCCAAAGAAGGTACTCCAAGATTTTAACAAAAAAGGTGATTGTTAAGTTTTGTATCTTAGAGACATGACAAAGTAAATACTAGGTGTAACTTACAGTGGTGTAAAGCTGACATTTACACTTAAGCTAAATTAAACATTTTGGCCAGAGCAGCAGAATCCCTAAACTCCAGCCAAAAGAGGTTTTCATTATGTTTCAGAATTTTCCACACAGATCTTCCACTGCCCACTCCTCCACTGGAAGCTGGGACACTCCAGGCGATGGAGCACAGGCTGTATCAAATCAAACAGAGCAGACATAACCTTCATAGCTGTCTGAGCTTCACACCTCTGAGGCACAATCAAGCACAGCTGTTCACAAAACAAGCTGCTCTGGTTGCTCCAAAGCCTACATTGTTCTTTTGTGTGGTGGAACAAAGGATTATTAAGCTAAAACACTATGGATACAACAAACCCACAACAGAAGAAAAGCCTAAGGGGGAAAATAATACATCTGTATTCACTCCACCCTTTCTGAAATAATGCCTCTTTGCCTGCCTTTCCATTCAGCAAGATGAGGCATACAATTCTTTTCCTAAGCCATTTTAAGCAAAATAATGTTACAGATTGTTCCATCACTACAGACAGCAGCGCTGCACTTTTCAGTGGCAGTGTGTTGCAACAACTATAGGCAGAGATGAATCAGACATCAACCATGTTGTAATACCATGTCAGAGGCAGGGGAAATAGAACAGGAATATTATGGTGTGGGGAATAAGCCTAGACTGGCAGAGGGAGTCCCACGCCCTGAGAAAGCAGATGGAAACGCTATGTGAATTGAATCTCACAGCAAGCCCTCGCTGTACAACTGAGCTCACCATGTGGCATCACAGCTGGGGGGGGAAAAGCAGACAAAACTGTATTAACCTTAACTAAACAAGTATTTCTTATCTTGCTGTAAGAATAACAGTCCCTTGGCATATTTGTTTCTGACCGCAAAGGAAAGACAAACATTATTGTTACCATAGTTATTTTTTTTAGTGTAGTTCCTACCCTTAGCACAGAGAAAGATGACTTTTACAGAAAGTGCTGAAATTCTTGAAATGACTCCATTGTATTAAAGTAAGTTATCCTACTCAGTTTTTACAGACGTTGAGTAGCTGAAAGAAAATCTGAAATACCCACACTTCATTGAAGACTGGAGAAAAAAAATAAAAATCACATAACCTTATTTAAATGCTAATTTTTGAATGAAGAACTATGACAGCTCTGCCTTTAGCAGCAGGGAACGAAACTTAATAATGCAGAGATACACCCCAGTTATTTGATCCTATGCAAATTACTAAGTCTATGCAACACAGCCGATTGAAACTTCAAAAAATAAGAGCACAGAGTAATTACAACTGTAGTGCCTACGCTGATTTGTTGTCATTTTGCCCACAAGGGAGGGGACATTATTATTAGTTCTTGGCAAGTATTGCTAGCATGTCTCAAACATGTAATGAAGAAACATACTTTGCCATCTGCTTTGGCCTCTTTACTGAAATTCTTTCTTAATCACTGATTTGATAGTTTTTTGATAGATTTTTCTAGTTCTAGTTAGAGCCTTAAATTTTAAGTGAAAAGATTAGCATCCATCAAGATTCATGTTTCAATGTTTTATTTGAAAGTCATGGCTAAAACACAGGACAGAGCTAAGATCTATTTTGACCACTGGTAAAGTAATATAATCAGTTATAGAGAAACACTTGGTGAAATAAAATTGTTAAGAAAACAAACCAAAAACTTTAAAAGTCTGTTTTCAGATAAGCATAAAATGACTAGCTATTAAAATAGCTTTGCTGGAACTGCACACGTACATTCAGCTGCTCACTGGTTTGAGGTTTGTTTTTAATTATTTCAATTTACCTTTTAAGGAAATGCTTGAAAATTGAAAATCAAGAGCATTGTAATGCTGAATTTGGAATACTGAAGTGTTTCCATGAAACCTATCCATGGATAGTTCACATACACAGCAGACCTAGCGTTTGTACAGTTTTAGACTGAATTATTCCACAGAACTGGTTTTCAAAACTAAAATTTTCTGGTCAGTTTAGTGTCTACTAGAAGCAATCTGAGAGATTAGAACTGTGGAGGGCATGAGAAAAGTCAGGATGACTCCCATGCTCAATCAGTTTTAAAAAACATTTGTAGTATTTATTTAGTGTTTCTACAGAACACAAGGGAATTGAAGCTTTTTGAGAAGTTAACAAGCTTTGACAAGAATTGCTTATTTGGATACCAAACTATTTGCTTCACAGATAACAGGGAAATACTGGTGTGAACAAAGTTAAAACCTCTTAATACTAATCTGTCTAGATTTAGAAGATTTCTATGGCAGTTGGTATTACCACATAAGTTAACAGACCATGATGATCTGAAAAAAAGCAGATTCTCATCTTTTGTTTTTAACTGCTGCCTCACCAGAGATGCATTTTAAAAGGAGCAGTCCTCCTTTCATGTCAATTTAAATACTGGACACAAAAGCAATGAGTGAAAACCGTTAATACAGTTCAAGGCTCGGAAATAACTGACTAGCATTTTAATAAATCAAAATAACTAAAGTATCGGGAAAAAAATTACATATGGCACAAATGCACAAATCTGGAATATATTACTGTATTTTACACACTTCATCTTGTTAAGACCCTGGCATGTTCCAAGAAGATGCAGAGACACATTAATCTGTCTGTATAACAACAAAAAGATTTGAGAATCATGTGCAGAAGAGCGAACAGGCATTCACTCTGCAGTTTGCAGTTTCCCCTTGCCTTATCACTGGTTTACCCACACTGTCTACTATGGACAGCAGCGTTTCAGCAGATAAACCATCCCTGTACGTGGATTAAGGACTAACAGTGACTACACAATTAAGAATTCACATGAGATGTTATCTTGAAGTCAGCTGGATGACTAATATAATGTAACTTACAAAATTAGGTTTGAATTATAGTTTGCAATACATAATACTCAATCCCACATATCTGAAAAGACATTTATATAAAATGGCTATAAAATGCTTGCTTTGCCAGTAACACCTTATTTCAAAGCCATGGAACGCAAGGCATAACCTAAAGAGACTGCACTCCTAAAGCCAACATACTTAAGTGATCTTTCCTAAGGAGACCCTTACACCTAAAGACACTTTCCAAGGCTGTGCCCCCACCTTGGTTTTAACTTTTTCCATCAACATAGTCTTAGTTTCCCACTCTTAAAAAAACACAAGAAAATAAATTCCAAGTACCTGTAGAACAACCACTATTTACTGAAGATGGCAATTTTTAAGAGAGCCTATCTGCCACCAACCAGTGAAAGGATGAACACAGTAGGTAGCGTGTGTGCAATACTGTGCACTATTGCAAATAAATAATACTAATTTCTATGCGAAACAAATGTATTCATTTCAGATAAGAGTGCAAGTATTGAGTATGCACACAGCATCGGACATTACAGATCCTGGTGGAAGAATATCCATAAAGGTAAAAAATAATACCAGTTAAGAGACAGCAAGATAAAACAAGTGCTATATTAAATACTTCATAGCTTTTGGCACCCTCTAGTGACAAAATAAGAACTTCATAGAGATGATAACATTCCTGCTGTCTACACAGAGAAGCATGCACTTGGTTTTCTGTGCTACAATTATTTTCCTAATGCAAGTTTTCTACACTGAAATGTGACAAGTTATGCTGTTTAATCTAGATGTACGATTTCAGGAAAACACGAAAAATCCGTACAGATCTGAGCTTTCATTTTAAGCACTGTGCAAGGACAATTGCAGTAGAAGCCTTTCCTACACATTACTATTCTCAATTTGTAGTTCAGTACATTTCACACAGAAATATATGGAAGAATTGTTGCCATTTTCACCATGTTATTACTGCAGAACACTATTTCATTGCTGCATGATGTGCTTCAAATGCCTAAAGAGATGACACACTTTCAGACACTTTAATGTAAAGGACTACTCACAGGCCAGATAAGAGAATCAAGTAAATTTCTGCACTGAAGCAGCATGGTACAGCCTTCCAAAGTACCTAACACCAAAACTGCAGAGCTCACTGGTTTTGCAGACACTGTTAATTCTAAAAGTAAATTGCTATATTGTTAGCCAGGAGCAGGCAAGCACTTACATTGCTGCTCACAGCAGTTAAAAGATTATTTCCAAGCTCTTCCTGGTGTCTGCTAGATGCTACACCCTGTTCACTGCCAGCTGACTCTACTGGAGAGCATTCATGAAAAATACTAAACTCCAAGTGTGTGTTAAGCTACAAGAAAGGCTATGAGTAGCTCCGAGGTACCAAAACATAAAGCTGTCACACTAACCTTAGATTTGCCTCTCGATCAGCATTTAATATGTTTATTTACCATATTCTAAAAAACATCTCAGATTACCTTATACAAAGATGACAAACAGGTAGCTTGTTTTGGGGAGGTTTTTGGATGGATTTTCGGATGGGTTTTCTGTTTGCTCTGTTGTGGTTTTTTTTTCTTTTTTATACTAACAGAGAAACTACTTATAAAAACATGAAAAAATATTCAAACTGAAGCATGCACCATCTTTCAAAAGGACTACAATGATTTAAGCCCTACTCAAAAGAAAGCGCTTACTAACAGCAGAAGAGGGAACACTGCACATATCCACCACTTCTGCTGCAGCACCAGAGGCAAAGCATTTCAGTAGTGCAGATGAAATACCTGGACTCTAAACTCTGCTGCAATACAACGTTAGCCTCATACAGTTCATCCTAAATTCTGATCAGCTTGACAACACAGGCTATTCCCAGAAACAGTCCCTAGAAGTCCACTCATCAATCAGGGATTTTGCTAATGAACTCCATCCCAACAATCTCTCTTACACCAAGGAGGTGTGGGACACTATGGCATAGGATTTGATCCTGCTCACAGGAAAATAATCTCTAACTACAGGGACTTCCCTCTCCTTTCAAGGGCAGAACACGGTGTTTCTACCTGTAGAGAGAAATTACAGAGAGGTATGAAGGCTACGTGTCAGTTGACTTCCCAAGTATTGGAAAGACTGCCATATTATTATCTGGTTTTGCAGAGACATTTTTCAAATAAACCTGCTTGTTTATAATAATGTGAAAATTGTTCTGGTCTTAGAGTTACAACTGGTGCTCCTTGCCAAGGCAACATAGCACCAATGCTATGAAAGAGTACCTACTGTATAAAACTTGCAGCCATAAAAAGAAGCATCAAAAAGAAAATATTTTTATTTCATAAATAAAAATTGTATTTCTTGTTTCTTAAAAGCTAGTTAACTGTAGGGAGATGCACTCTGAAGATCTCGCGATGTACGGGAAAAAAAGAGGCACATGAAAAGATCTCGCAATGCACGGAAAGAACAGGGAACTAAAGATCTCACGATGTACAGAAAGGCGTATATAAAGCAACTGCACAGTTAATAAACCGAACAAACAGCATCCACCATATTGGCGTTTGTGCTTTTGTTCTCGCGAAGGTTAACTTCCTGTGGGGGTTAGCTGTGATCTAAACACCGCATTTCTGTGGCTTAGCAGATGGAAAAAGACAGCTAATGCCTTACCACAACAGTTAACAACTGAAATTACACTGGACAGAATATAGCTTCCTAATGCCACTATATAGTTTGGTATGGTAGCTGTCTTAAAGAGAAGGACTTGCTTATGAAAAGCAAGATTATCTCGCCTCACTGCCTCCACAAAGTGTTGGGAATGTGAATAAAACATTTTAGTAAGTAAAATGTTCAGTATGTCTACTAAAGAAAAAAAAAAAATCTTGACAACGATTACTAGATAGAGGACAAATCCATCATTCTTGAGAAAAGTTTTGAAGGGCACTTACTTTGTTTGCCAGTTCTCACTCATCCTAAGTACTTAAGGCACACCAGTTTTAATAAACACCCTTTTACAAAAAACAGATGCTCTTTAATGGATGACATTTTACCTTTCGAGCCTGTTCCTCAGCTCGTTCTTTCTTGATTTTTTCCAGTTCAGCCAGAAGAGCTGCAGTGTCATCATCATCACTGTCTTCCAAGTCCTCATCTTCATCATCTTCCTAATAGCAACAAATGGGAATAAGAAGCAGCTCATTAATTTCATTTAATAAAGAAAAGTCCTCATCTGCCAACTAATGTTGCAATTGGTTGCTGGATGATTTATGAAGTACTTGGGTGACTGTAGAGGTAGCAAATACAATATAAATGGTTTATTTGCTTTTGTACAGTAAAGTGAAGACAAAAATGTTTCTTCTTTTTGAATGACTGCAATTAATTTTTTTGTAATTCAAATGCTATGTAGCTGACAGATTCTAGAGATTGGGCTGTCCCCAGTCACTCTCTAATCATTGTGATTTCATTCATAATAGTATGCCTGAATACCCCATCCAATATTCCTGGGACCAAATATAACAGGACTAAAAGAACCCTGAGTTTATTATCAAGCCTTAGACTCCTAGATGTCAGCATGACAAGGGGAGCCAAGAGCAAGAATACATTGCTCATGCCAACAGTCAGTGTATTTCAACAGTTCTACCTTTGGGGAATTTGAAGTAACCCAGTAGTTGACCAAATCCAAGTCACCCATTCCCCAAACTTTAAGTGGTATTTTCAGTTCCCTAGTTTTTGTGTGCTTTCCAAGAATATTATTACAGCATGGACCAGAATTCTCTGAAACCCTTTGGACTTCCACTACAGTAGAGTAACTGTAAAGGGAAGATACACTGGAACTGATCTAAAACCTTTAGCGAACAAATCCAAAAGGCAGTACAATGAAAGGAATGAAGACAGAAAAAAAGATACCTACATCAGTAAGAGGTACCTACATCAGTAAGAGGATCATCTGCATCAAGATTTGCTGCAGGAATCTGGTCTAGCCGAGGCTTCTTCGACACAGAAGATGATGTTGTGTGTTCTATGGCATAAGATTTAAAAAAAAGTGACTAAGTCACTTCATTTAACGGCAATGTCAGAAAACAAAAATCTTCACAAACAATCTGACTCGCATTAGAGATACAAGTTTATGCTTACTTTTTCCTCACTTCTCAATCTTAATGCCCATGCTAATTCCTCCCCTGCAGGTATCCTCATGGGAAGCAATGACATCCACAAACTTAAAATTTGACCTCCAGAAGTGTTCTAAAGTCATTATTTGAAGAAGAAAGAACAGCAGAAGAAAATGTTGTGGAGAAATATCCTTATTCTGTATATCTAATTGGAGGGTTCCCACTGAGGAACACCTGAACGTATTAGTGTTGGCTAGTTTGGTCCAAACCATATCTGCTTTCATCTGTGAATGTGAAAGCCCACAATACCTTCAAACCTAAACCTAAAATACCTAAATTCTCTAAATCTTAATACTAAAAAGGAGTATTTCTCAAAAACAACTCTAATTTTAATTATCACTTCACTATATCTGAACAGAACTGCATACTTTGAATCAGATTTATGGTTACACTGGTACTGTAACTCCATAAGGAGGAGTCATTCTCCTTCTTCCTGTCTCACTTGTCCAAGTACAAAAAAAAGCCCTTTATGAGCTGTATGTACTTGTTGCCAACTCATTACAATCATACTGTATCAGCTGGCCTGCATGATGGCCTACGCTTTTCTGCTGGCTGGCCTAGATTCCTGCTAGCATGAAGCCAGCAGACATACCCTTGCAGGTCAACAGCTCTGAACTATCAGACCAATATCCTGAATTCTACTCTCATGACATGCTGTCTGCAACCTGCAAACTTCTTACAACACCAAGGTTTGTGCAAGAGCAATGTCACACAAAGGTATTACGACTTTTGTTTCTTTGGTTTTACCTCTAGTTGGTCTGTCTCTATTCTTTTCTCTTGCAGCAACCCGCTCTCTCTCCTCGAGCTCCCTTCTGAAATCACGGTTCCGCACCTCTTCAGGAGCATCCTGAGTGGTCTGTCTAAAACAACATGAGCAGGGGAAAAAAAAAAGCTGAAGTTGACAGTCTGCAGCTGGGAGCAGTTCTTTCAAGGAGGCAAATAAATCTGGGGTGAACAGGTAAGTATAGAGAATAAGAACTGGGTACCACATAGACATATTTTTATTATCTCTTCATCAGCCTCCTTCTCTGCATGCGTTACACACACGCAGACATGCAATGCCACACACACACACGCTCCTTCCAGTGCCTCTCAAATGAATTAAAAGACCCTATATAAATTCCTACAAAACCAGGATGACTATATCTGACTTTTGTAGATATGTCTAAATCTTCTGTTCTCCAGCAGTCCAAGCCCAGTGTCCTAGCAGACACCCACACCAAGCATTATGGTCAACTTTCTTCACTGTTTTATCATCCAAAGTTGCTGCTGCAAACCCAGTCTCTAAGGATTACAGATAAGACCAAGACTAGAACATACTTTTCATAAACCTTTTTCCCTCCAAGAGACATACCAGATAATCTCCCATGACCATAAAAAAAAAAGGTAGGAGAACAGGGAAAATACTAGTTTTAGTGAAACATATTGCAAATGCATGGTTTTTTCTTCTTTTATACAACACACTGGCCAAAAGCAACAGACTATTTGAGTCACAGTAAGTTTCACCTAGAGAGCACTGAATTTTCTGTGGAAAACTTGAAAAGAACTAATGAATAAAAACAAGCAGCAATTCCTTTCACCTTTCTGTGAACCCAATGCTGGAAATAAGAGTGCCTGGAAAAAAAAACAGACTTAAGCCATTCTAAATACACTGTGTGCACAGCCTGTCTCTATGATGAAGTATTTCATTTGCTTTTCTAATTAAAAACCTGAACTTGGAATCCCTGATATAGCTGCAAAATCCCCCCAAACCCATTCAAGCAAACATGAGTGGGACTCAAGCACTGAACTCTTCCTGCAATAATGCAGCCCTGGCAATTTAACAAAGATAACTTTGTGTTAGGTATTTGGGAGAAAAAACAGAAGACACTCAATGCCCCCTCCATCTCTCCCTCTCATGCACACAGAGGGATTTTGTTAAAACATATATTTACATTCCTGTACATATCTGCCCTCATCACTTCTTTCAAAGCAACAGAGACTGGTGTTTCAAACCCCACTTTTGTTTAAAGAAACAAACCACCAACAAATTTCCCCCCTAACAACAAATAAAATTCGTTTGACAGCACTTTTTATGCTGCTGATCTTCCTATTGTCCAAAACACTGCAACTCCCTCATCCATATGTATTCTTAAAAAAAAAAAAAGGGGTAGGAGAGAAGAGGTGAAAAGGTAAACATCTGCATAAGAGAGTGCAAACGTAAAATTTTAACAGTAATTTTACTGGTAAGAGTAACATTAGTAAGATAAAAAGAACATTTTTAGGCTGACACATTTTATTCAAACTCTAGTTATCTATATCACACTGACTCCAGATTTCATTTAACCTTTCAAACAGATAACTAAGATTTATTATGTATTTAAAACAGAGGGAAATATTCCTAAGATCCCATTATCTTTCTCACTGATTAAAGCCATTTCCTCTCCCAGGACCTGCACGAACCACCTGCAGTGTTTAACATCAGCTCTTCCAACACATACTACTGTCTGAGTACTATTCCACCATTTCCTTGCCCTTCCCAAGCAGTCCTTTACCAAATGCATGATGTGATTTTCCTACTTTTAAGACATGCTCAACTTCGCTCCTCTTAGCCCATCTTGCTCTGCAAGAGACAGCACCCTCCATGGCTCAGTCCCAATGACAACTTTCCGATCCACTGCCTGAAATGCTCGGTCTCCGAAGCTCACCTCCTTCCAATGATTCACTTCCACAAGCAGTAATAAAATATCACTAAAGTTAAACCTCTCCAATTATTTTCAATACATTTGATCTCCTAGGTCTGCTTTTGAGACTTACACTTTCACCTTGCTTATTCACCACTGCTGCACAATCCCTTATCTCTGCTCAGTATCAAGCACATCAGTATCTATTGAGAAAATTTCAGAGTACCGCTCATAACAAACAAAAAAAAAATCATTCCCAGCCTGTTTTGCTGCAAGACCAAAAAACCCAATACTAACCTGTATTTGATTTTAGTATGAGAAGGAAGGTCTCTGCTGGAATATTGTTTGGATAACTGACTTAAGTCTCCTTCACCTTTTCCTCTTCCTCCTCTTGCAGGTTCAAATGTTGGCCTCGCTGCTGTCGTCATTTTAAATACTACAGAATCAAGGGATAAAAAACAGATGTTACTACAACTTACAGGGAAAGACATTCACCAGAAGCTACTTTGTTCCTGGAACTGTAGAAGCAATGGCAAACCCCACTACAGAATACCAGCTATCACTTGGCTCATGATCCTCAAATTTTGAGAAGCTTTTTATTGACAGACTTGGCAGAATCTATTGAGATTTTCAAAATAAAGTCTTTTCTAACATGCTTGAAAGATGACTCTATCTATCAGACTCTATCAAGAACATGAAACTACTTTTGTAAAGTAAGTAAAACTGGCCAGGAGCTGTTCTCCTATGCTTAAGACAAGCGACAATCTTGTAACTAAACTCTTTCCCCTCCTGAAAAATGACAGCCAAAAAATGATGGCTGCCTACTGGGAATGACCCCTCCATTACTCCCCAAACCGTATCTAGGTATCATCACCAGAAATGCTGGCTGACACAGACCACAGCATGTCTAGGGTGGTGTTGGTAAATAAATACTGATGAGGATCATGAAACCTGAATTCTTGAGCCCTTGTCGTGGCCCTGTTCAGTTCTCTAGTACTGACACAGCACTGTCACTAATACTGCAGCACAGCCCTTTGGGAGTGACCTCCAGCTGGCCAGCAAATCCGTCGGAAGGGCTAGAGTTAATGTTTCCCTGGTAGCACAAGGCCACAGCTTTACCCTTATGTAAATGAAGGGCAATTAAAAAAGCTTGGACAAATGAAGACATGTTCACCAACTCTCACTCAGAAACTGCAGTAACTCACGCACTGCCAGCATGTCCTAAAAAATGAACTAGCTGATGCCCAAAATCAGCACTATCAGTTCTTCTGTTACAAAGGAGTGAAACAGACTCCAACTAGCCTCAGCCAGGCAGACACCCTGTCAGCATGCACTGCGTTCAGTGCTGCTGGACAGGAGCTGGATCTCCTGCAATCTCAAACCACTGTGCCAAGAGACAGTTAACGCAAAAAATCCCTGCACAACCAACCAGCACCACCTTAAAACTGTTATATGAAACGATGCTCATTCCTGCTTCACCAAGACATGCACATTCATTAACCACAGACTAAAGATATATAAGGCACAAGAAAGATACAGCTGCAGAGATACATAAAGACACCAGTTCTACCAACCAGAAGGTTGGACGTTAAAGGATGACATGAAAACATAAAGAATATTAAAAAGCAAAGAAAAAAACATATTGCTTCATATGCTTTTGTGATACACAAATAGAAGTTATTTATGCTCTGCCTGCATTTGTTATTTAATAATATTAGGAATTATTTAAATGAGATCACAAAACACAGTAGCATTAAAATTATAAAATAATTTGTCAAAGTAACATCCCATCGAGCAGGACAAAGTTAATGCCACTGAACTACTACTCAGAAAACAAAATTAACAGACAGAAACACCTCTAAAAAGAAGGGAGAGAGTAACTAGCTTTGAGTCATTAACCAAGGATTGCTGACGCTTTTCACTGATGCTGTGCAAGTCAGCTGGAGCTCAGCAAGGCATTTCAACTCTGCCTTGGCACAGACTATGCCAGACCCATGAGAAAGCCACCTGCTCTCAGAACCTGTCTGTGCTAATTATATGGAATGGAGGGAGGGATCCATAAACTCAGGTGAAGAACCAGATCCAATGTGGCTTCATAGTTTCATGGAGCAATAACAAACCCCCTGGAAACCGTCCTTGCTTATTTTAAATCAGTTTGTATTCGTCTTGGCCTTAAAGGACCCAAGCTCAATCTGAAACCACCCAGAGACTGTCACACTAACCTCTCAGGTTTTGGAAACACAGCCCTAGAGAAGCCTCTTCATCGGTACACGAAGACAGGACCGGCCAA